CCAATATTTATCAATTAAGTTTCAGTGGGGGGGGGGGGGGTAGGGGGGTTTTTGAAAAAAAACTAAAGGAATTAAGTTTTTTATCCGACATCGATCTTTTGACGTCGTCCCTTACTGAGAAAAACTTAAATACTTAATTAATTTTTGCTGAAAAGACATTTGGTTGTTTTGTATTGAGTTTATTTTCACTGATTTTTGATGAGTTGAATGTAAAATATAGGAAAAAAGGGTATATTTGCTGGATTTTATTTTCACTAGCCAAAAAAGAATTACAAGCGAAAATAAATTATTTTACTGTATTTTAAATAACTAAAAGTCTGCCATTCTCTACAATTATTTTGAAAAAGAAAAAAATTAGAGCCTGAAATTGTTTTGAGGAACTGCTGAAGGAAACAATGGCAGACTAAAATTTCTTGTTTCTGTGAAAGTTTTCCATGAAGCTTGTGGTTCCCAGGAAATCCATTAATGTGATAAATGCATCCACTGGTAACAACCTGAAAGTCAGCAATAACAAGTCAGTGATATAGAAATCCATGAGAATGGTATCACGAATACTTTCACTAATACTTTCACCAAGCTTTTTGGTGCTCAGACTGAGACTCAGAGACACACTCGAAAACTACAATGAACAAGTGACTGTTGATGCAGATAGATTCTAATTAAATTTTGGGAGGGGGGTTATTCAGCAAGCTAAACATATAGTGCTACTTCAAATGGCATCTTGGCCGAGGTTTGTTCAGTCAAAGTTATCCCTTCTAAGAATAGGATCATTCTCATCTCGGAATTTTTGAACGAAATAATAAAATAAAACATCATATGAAAAATGGTTAAGGATGTGTGAAAATGCCTGAGAAATGGTTTATGACATTTTTTGTGGTGTTTTGAAGGACAAAAATAGCCATGTGTCATAGTATATCATCTTACTCTCAACAAAATTGGTCAAAGTATGTCTGTTAAATGGTTAAGAATGCAAGAAAATAACACCTACATGGCAACCAGTCGCCAATTTTGATTTAAATCACAAAATAGACTGATCAGTACATCAGTAACATACCGTTAGTGATGTCAATGCCAAGTTTGATTGAAATCAGTCGACCATGTCTGAAAAACTGTTGATGACAGTCAAATTTTGTGATTTTTGTTTTTTTTAAACAAAACTGGCCACCATTTGGCTAAATTTCATCGCAATCCAAGATTCAATCAATTATGCTTTTGTACCAAATTAAAGCCAATCCTTGAAAAAAATGTCTATGGGAAATGGGCAAAAACCCACCATGAGTGATGTTCATTCCAAGTTTGAATGAAATCAGTCAAGGCATGCCTGAAAAACTGTTGATGACATATGTTCAAATGATACACACATCTCTCATAATTGCCATGACAACAGCTTGTGATAACATCTAGTTTACTCACATTTTGATGGCCGTCATTGGTTTGATATACCACGGTATAAATACCATACACTCATTTCTCAATACACCGTCCATAATTGCCATGACAACGGTTTGTTTTGATAGTGGAGGAAAGAGTTTGGTAAATCTAGAAAGCAAAAAAATAAATAGCAGAGTGCAAACATACTAAATCTGAAATATATATGGAAATTTATATGTAGGTTTATAAAATAGAATTCTTTATTAATAATGTAAATGTGACATTTTTTTTTTTGGGTTAACAAGTTAATCAAGTTAACATGAAGAGCGATCATGAACCTATCCGTGAATAGTAAAGGTAAGACAATTTACAGTAAGTTAGAATATGGCATATGTTGTTTATAATGTATTCATTATGATGTAACACTGTTCGATGTACTTTTATGGTTTCTTTGATTAGTGAAGTGTTCTTATTACTCATTATTTGTATGAATTTTTTATAGTTTGTCATAACATTAGCTTATCATGTTTTTTCTCGTTATATAATTGCTTGTGTTTAATGTGCTATTTGTGATATTAGTTGTGTGAAGTATTATTTCTGTTTTTTGTTTTTTATTTCAACCATAAAATTATTCTCTGTAGTAGATTTCCGTGTTAAATAATGATAATATTATTATAATAATATCTTTGAATCCATCTATACACTGATTTGCATAAAGAATGTTTCTACATTGTGAAATGTTATGCAAGATAAATAGATCACCCATATCCCATAATACTCACCTTGTTCTACAACCTTCGAACATACCAAACTCAAAATAATAGGGTACCACGTTAGTCATATGTACGCCATCTTTCTTGAGAGCGCTCATTTCATACATCAGACACTCGCACAGCCCTGCAGCACCAAACTTGCTAGCGCAATAGTCAGTGAGACCGTTCACAGCAATGTAACCTGCTGAACTGGTTATGTTCACAATGTGACCATGGTTCTTGTCCAGCATTGAAGTTATGAAGGCTTTTGTAGTCTGGAAAATAAAAATAATTCAAAGACATTTTTTTAGAAATTGTTAATAAAAGTGTCTGAGTGCATACAGCAATGACCAAACCAATATAAACATTTTTCAATTTTATTGACATTAGTCATTTTGAATAGAATATACCGTAATCAAATTTATAACTAAATAACAATACATACAAACAAATATATATTAAAGCAGGAGAGTGATCACCTGCGCATGCGTCAGATGGCCTTAGCGTGTCATTGTTTACAAACAAGTGTCTACCCATAAGCCTTTGCGTTTTTAGTGTGTGTTGTTATCGTCGCTTGGGACTCAATTCTCGCGCGTGCGCAGGTGACGACCCTCACGCTTTAACTATTTCACCACTAGACTTTCTCGCTCAAATTATTCTGTACTTTTTTCTTATATTC